TCTCCTCCCGTATACACACGCTAACTTGTTTTCTCTCACTCACTTCTTTCTAACCTTATCAGTGTCTTTTTTTTTGTCTCTCTAAGTCCCTCCCTATTCTTGCTCTCCTTCGTCTGGTATTTGTACATTGATAGTTCCAGACTGGCATCCAGTAACATTATCTAGGCATTAGTAAGGACCCTAACCCTCATTGGGGCAGTTGACTGGCGTGGGCAGCGTAACCAAGGGAGTTTAACAATCGCAAAGAGGCTCCAAAGTTATGTCACTCTACCTCTACCTCTAGCTCGAGATCATAGTTTCCACCTTTTCTTTCCTTACTCACTCGCTCTCACTCTCCCTTTCTCCTTTCTTTCTTGCGCTCTTTTCATCTCTGGCTTTGGGATGCTGAAAGCGAGAGAGTGGCCTGGCGGCAGTGAAAGGGCTGAATTGTGATTAAGAAGGAGGAGAGGAGCTCCTTTTCTTTGTTCTGCCCTCGGGGGTGTTTACTGAGGGGGTGTGTGGTGGAGGAGGGAGTGAGGGAGTGAGGGAGCGAAAAATAGAGAGAGAGAAGGAGAGAAAGAGAGAAAGAAGGAAAGGGGGTGGCTGAAACATGGCATAGCAGATATGAAAGGCATTCAGGTCAGCAGAGATGATGGTACTACTGGAGAGCTACTTGCGATTGGTGTGTGCATGTGTTTTAGAGAGTGAGAATACTATTTGTATATTTGCAAATAAATAACTGCAATAAGTTTTTTTTTTTTTAAGCCGTATTTAGTAGGAAGTGGTTAAAGGAGGGTGAAAGGTATCTGCTGCAGCTGCATTCACAATGGCCCGGTTGTGCGCAATACGTGCCAAAGACAGTACACTAGACACCCTGGTACTGCCGATTATAAAAGCATGCCAGTGAGATGCCCCAATGACAAGCCATTGTCTTGGCGCTTTGTCTCGGTGAACCTGCTAGCCTCTTTATGCCACCCGAACAAATATCACACAATGTTCCCTTCATAGAAACAATTGATTTAATCTGTTAGCTGCAGTGACTCAATACAGCGACTTCTCACAAAGACTTCTGATCATTTGCATTAGTAGCCCTAACATCGGTTTCTAAACGAGTCAAAAAAACAAGAATGAATCACAAATAAATTTGAAAGTGACAGCTGTAGTACACACATCATAGACAAATTATGCCTAATAAGAGAAAAAAAAAAACATGAGACAAATTAAAAACTGACACAGCTGAGCATCACATCAAACTTACAACGATCTGTAATTTAAGAGAAAGCAACACACAACAACAGAACCATGACAATCTACAGAAAGCTCCAACTTTATAGTCTTGCGCCTCTGACAGTTTTGTCAAGCTGGCCCTCACAGCTGGATGTGACGTGCTGTGAAAAAAAGGGGGAGGTTGGGGGTGTGGGAGGGTAAATGACAACCACAACACAACTGCAGCCAGAGAGCGGATCGAGTTTCACATAGGGCCTAATGTGACCTCCCATTGGGCCCTCAAAACAGTGGGGTGGGGCCGGACTGCAAAGAGAAGAGGACCTGAACTACAAACTATAAAAATAAATTTTGATTAATTTTTTAAACAAATCTGTCATTTTAAAATTCAGTTTCCTATATTCAAATTGGATAAAATGTGTCTTCGAGTTAATGAGGCGATAAAGTAATCAGTTGAATTTTTACATTCAATAATAGGCTACATTTTTAACTGATAATTTAAAATAATGATATAATTGTATGTAATTATATGTAGGCTTAAATGTGTAGCTGTTCAACAGAAAAGTATCCAACTAGTCAATATTATTAATGTGTGTGTATTCTTTCTATTATTTACATAATAATGGCAAGTATTGACGATTCAAAACATTTTATTCACCTCACGTCTCATACAAGACTCGTTTTGTAGTCACCGCCGGATATGTATTATTAGCCTATATCTACTCCTCCACTTATTTTCCTCAAACACATTTTCTGTCATTAAACAGAAGGGAAAAGTACAATTTAGTCAAATATAGTTTAATAAATTAGCAACTAATGTTTCCCTAGTAAATGTTTTCAAATAGCTAATTATAATAATTTCAATCCGCATCACGAGAACTGAATGACCGCTTCACTCATTTTTGCCCCCAAATAGTTTCAACCCATCGACTTTATTCAGTGTCATACACTCCGCGACAGGCTACATTGATTTGAATAAAATCAATAGATCGCATTTAATAAAGTATCGAGGTCAAACATAGCTATAGCAGGGTCCGGGAATGTGTGTGCATTTTACTCCCAAAATAACTAAAGCAATTACATTTATTTACATAAAAGACAGCTTGATCAGCATAATATGAAGCGTTTTAAAAATATTACACTCTAATTCAATTCAATTAAATCTTTTCTTTTTAGAAAAAAATGTTTTTATCTATAAACGAATTAGGAAACAGCGTATGTAAGAGTCTGAAGGTGTTTGTAGATGTGTTTGTTTTTCTTTGTGTCTAAAAATCTCCTCAGGCCAATAGCATACACCAGGACTTTTATTTTTGTTTTATTTCCTTTTATTTAGGATCCCAACAAAAACTATCGTTACTTCAATTCACGTCAATGACCTCTTCGACACAAAACCAAAGTCATGTGTTTAATAGTCATACCGGTTTTGACTATTTATAAGTTAAGAAAGTAACCAAAAGTGTCCCAACACATAACCTGTAACCGCACAGCACAACTTTACTCCTTTGAAATTCAACAGAAGACAGAAATCCACAACAAGTATAAGTGTAAAAGTTTGACAAAACAAATACAACACCCAAAACAACTTTCATACGTATTTTAAGGTATTTTAGAGCCGTATTGTGTCCTGCAGAAGACACGCGTGCGCGCACGCACTCACACACACATAACGGTTTTGTGCTGTGAGATAATAGACGCTCACATCTGAACTCTCCCTCTAACTCCTACTCTATTACAATTTAAACATTTCCACGGCATGGAAAACAACTTAAATCAGAAGGCTTTATAGCTACCTCAAGCACACTGCAAAATAGTTTACTCTGTCGTTGAGTTTTCCGCACTCTTCTGTACAGCGCTTCAGTTGACAACGCACAGTTTCACCCAAATCCAACTGTGTTTTGAAGAAGCGAGAACAAGCCCGAGACACGTTTTTCGACATAAGATACTTTCTTACCGTTCTTTCTCCTCGGGTTGGCCTGTTTTCTCCTCTTACACCGGGGACCCTCCGCCATGATCTCCTGCTTCATTGATAAGAGTGGGTCAGATGGCAGCAGTCCGCATGGGCTCCGCTCCTTCATCCAAGATCTAGTAACACACACACGGCAACAATTGGACTCTCAGGGCAGGAAGGAGGATGTGTGTCGCTCACAGGAGAGCAAATGATATTTGGGGGGGTAGAGTGACTGAGATATCCGAATGAAGTTATCCAGGAGGGTTTGTTTAGAGGGACCGTGAACGTCCTGCGCGTCGTCTGATCTTTTGAAGTGTGTGTGTGTGTGTGTGTGTGTGTGTGTGTGTGATCGGACAGCAGCGCGTGAGTGCGCGAATGAAGGGGGACGGACACACCGACACCTTCAAGTCACCATAAAGCATGTGCTGTGCGTAAAGAGCATTTCATAGAATGAAAAGCGGTTAAAGTTTCCGGCAACTTTAGTGTTTAGCGGGTCATGCATGGCTTTATGTAGTTTTTTTTTCTTCCTTTTTTTCTTCTTCACTTTTCACTCTTTTTGCTTTAAGTTGTTATAAGCATCGGATCTGGTGGGCTACTTTCTTTGTGAATCTGATGGATGTAAATATTGGCTTCAAAATTTCTCCTCTGCCTGATACTGATTTACCGAATTTAATAAGGCACAATTGCTTTTCGTCGGAAATGACAGGATATTCCCGTTAGTTTATAAAGTAGCAGAACGTGCTGATTAAAATAAAAATGTTTGCATATAGTTCTCTTTCTGTCTCTCTTTTTATATGAAAATGGTACAAAAACATTACGTGTTGCATTTGAGTAAACTCTTCTAATTATTCCTTAGAATAAATCTTAGATTCAAAATCTGTGTCAGTTTATCACAATGTAAAATGTAAAATAAAATGTGCAGAATTGTGGTTGCGAAGCCTTAAAATAACACGGAATCAAAGATTGATAAACAAACAAATAAACAAGGAACATTACCCTCTCATCACAGTTTATCTCATCACACTCGTCATGAACAATTTGTGGATACATATGACAAAATTGAATTTTTTAAGCTAATTTATGGAATTTGATGTTTAAATATTTCAACGAAAACTAAGTCATCTGCCTAAAATCGAAATAGAAAATTAAAATGAGATGCGGATGAAAAAAAATGTGTTGTGTTGTTTTCTAAAAGGGAAATCATCCGTTTATGAGAGCCGCGTAAACATGCACTGATAAATGTAACGAGCGACATCATCACCACCATCATCCCTGCGTGAAGCTGCCGGTGTGTCAGCATCCGTGAGGCGCGCGCACCTTTCTCACCTGAGCCGACTGAAGCCAAGTTGATTGAAATCTCATATTCGGGAGGGGGTTACAAAAAGTCAAACAGGCTGTACAAAAAGCATCCACAAGGACTCAAGTACACGAAACAGGCTCACCTACCCGATTCTATATGAAAATTCCCCCAAAGAGCCGGTTAGAGGGGAGGAAAACGCCACAGAGATGTTTGGAGCGCTGAGGAGGACTATAATGAGGGACCGTTATTCCTGATGGACAGGTTTGGACTGATCTCTGTGAGCCACAACACGGAACAAACCTGAGGACGCACTGACGTGTTCCGCCTCTTCAGATGACATTTCTGCGCTCTCTCTTTTACTTTTGCGCTCCGAGACTCTGACACACACGCCACCTATCTTTACAGGGCGGGATAGATGGAGAAACACTGAGGTCGTCTGATGAATCAGATCAGGTGCTCGCGTCTAACGCTCTGCAACACACAGGTGGGACTTTGGAAAGGTGAGGCTTTGGACATTCTATCCTGTAAGCGGAGCAGAGCAAGAATGGTTAGAACTCGAGCATCGACCGCATGATCTTAAAGAAGAGGAGCTGAAAAGATGCACGAGAGGCTGCCGGTGCTGCACTGATCTGACAGGTAGCTCACCTGTGTGTGGTTGTGTGTGCGCGCGCGCTCTCTCTCTCTTTCAGCCATTTCATTGTTACTTCTTGTCTTGCGCAGTGATGAATGTTGCATTTGCAATTTAAACGCGTATGTATTATGTGATTCTCTGTGTAATTTACGGGCTGCTTATGGGCTCCAGGGTGAACAATGCAATTAAAAGTGATCATTTAGTGACTTTGTTGCCTATTTCAAGGCAGACCTGATGAATTCGTTGCAGCAGGGGATCAAGAATAATCTATTTCCACCAAAATCTAAGCTATCATAACAAATCTCGCTAAACATTTTTTTTTCAAACGTTTTTCCTCTTTTCCTCAGCCCTCTTCACCCGTCAATCTTTCATTTTAATACATCACTCCGTGATATATTAAATGCATTCTGATTGGTACAGTGTGAAGAAATTTACCCTCCCTAAATTCATGCATTTTTTTTTTATTATTTTTGCAGGGATTACTAATTGACCAATAAAATGCCAGTGCTGTTTGATGTACTCATTAAAGACCAATTGGATTTCACTGGAGGCGTTTATATTAATCGATGCATTTTATTAGACATTGCTTGAGCATTGAGTTCTTTGACGGAAATCCCTCGTTGCGCATGATGCATATAATAATACATGTATATTAATAGTATTACTATATAATTATGAATTATTGTAATTGCTGTTATTGTAATATGAAATACTACTTTTTCGTAAAAACACTAGTCGCTTTTACTTTTCCCCTTTTCATCCATTATTTTTATGAATGTGTGTTGGTGCCTCTGCGGAGTGTGGCGTGAAATTGGATCATAGTCGAGAGAATAAAACCCTAACCTAGAAATTTATTTGTGTCGATTATTTCTTTGTATTCTGAGACACTATGACCTATTTTCTGGAGAAGTAAACGAAAGAATCGAGTGCAACAAGGACGGTGCTCAGCTAACCGTTCTGTGTGTGCTGTTGTGTCAATTGGCAGCAGAAGTTCTACTGTATTACTCATTCACTTTGACTAGAATCAGCTTGCCTCGCGAGATTTCTCACTAATACATTCCGAGGATAAAACGGCATATATTCAATTCCTGATTCTCCAACTGCCATTCACAATGATAGAAACCAATGTGACCCCATATTCTTACATTTCACCCACATACTTCTGTTCCCAAATGATCCCTTTGTATCATTTATAACAAGATTCCTCTGCACTGGTTTGCCCTGAATTTAGTTTTGTTAAATTGTTAAGATTTAATTATTACCACTACTTAAATATTTGTTTTGGCATTACTAGAAAACGAAGGTAGTTAAAAAATAAATAAATAAATAAATAATAAAACAAGAACAATATCTGTCAACTATTGATCAAGTGTGAAATGGTTGAAAACAGAATAACATTAACCATTGATGATGACGAACCAGTGAGTGTTGAGAACAAAACTATCAGAGCATTTACAGAGAGCAAAATTGTTCAACACTTCCTGTTGCATCATCAATCTGTGGGAGTTTATTGCTTTCAAAAAACATGAAAGCAGAGAATAAAATCCAGTCTTCACTCAAATGAGCTTGACAGGATATCAGATAGCTATATGATTGATCTTTCTTTTTGAAAAAAAAAAAAAAAATCAATACAACAACTGAACAGTTTTTTTTTTTTTTTTTTTTCTAGTACTGAAAAACTAGTTAGGCCACAAAAACCCAGAACTAGATTGCTGACAAAACACCTGTGGGTGCAAGATGGAAAGAGGGAAGTTCTGCCACATCATCTACAGCACCATTATCCCCTCGTAGACGTGAGTGATAAAGTTTAGTCTAGGCAATGTGAGTTTAAAATCAGCAAATTCTTGGAAATATAAAAGAGAACTGAGAGAATGAGTCAACAAAAACCTGAGGAAAGGTTTACCATACTGTGACCATGTGAGCTCTTGTCACCTCCCCATCAAACCAACACACACATACTGTTGCCCAAGTATCTTGCAACATTGCAAGAGACACAATCTGAGTATGAACTGCCCACCAGGGTGAGACACTGGAAAAACAACCTTGCTTGTTGTGGTCTTTTTTGTGTGTACAAACTAACACTACTTCTGTGACACCTATATGATGCTGCTCTGTCCCATATTTTCATTGTCACCACTCTCGCTCCATCAAGTTGCACACGTTCCACCCCCCCCTCGATGTCTGGGCCACTCTACGTCTCAGGACAATGGATGTCTGCATGGGGCGAGGGTCTTGCCCAACCTATTGTCAGTTTAGCATGGCGAGGCTTTAGGTGCAGGTCAAACGAGACGGGGGCCCTTGATGTGCACGCAGACGGACACAAACATCCCTCCCCTGCGTCCCACAAGCATGAACTAATCCAGCTACAACCTCTGTCAACATAAACACATGACTAATCTGAGTGCATCTATGGCAATAATACCGGTCTAAGTGGAAAAGAGAAGAGTGGGGGAGAGCTGTGGCCTAATCCTAAGGGGGGGAAAAGTACAGATTAATAATAGACCTTGGAAATATAACACTATTTTGGGGAGGGGAGGTCAGGGCTTGGTTTCACCTAAAATTGAGTGAGTGATATGCAGGGGCATATGGTTGCTCTATCAGCTTACAAAATAAAGGAGGATTAGTGCTTTTGGACGAGGTTCTGTGACGTGATTACACTCGTATCTTGAAAAAGACTTTGTGTTCGGGGGCTATTGATTGTGTAACGATTTGAACTGTTTGTCAGATGCGTATAAAATATTCTAAAATCAAGTCTTGTGCTACACAACTTCAGTGCTGCACGTCCTACTTTTCTTATGGAAGGGGAGTGCATTAAGGTGGGATTTTGTATTCTGTGATTTGTCGACCTGAACGTAACGCAGACTCTTCATTCTGAATCTTACACTATGTGCAGCTTGACTGTGACCTCCTGACCTTCTCTGGAAGACATCAGGACAGCACAGATGGGAGGCACACCTTAGCCCCTGTATGATTCACTTTCGTTCTGATTACTGCTTTAATATGGTGTAACAGTTCTTTTCCTGCCCAGGTTCCTGTTTAGAGTCCTTCCTGTAAATGTCATGTGTTTCCATGAATAAATCAGACTTTATGACTACACAATTGTAATATTTCCATGTAGCACTTAATTTGAATACATTCAAAATTGTTGCTATGTTTTAAAGTCACCAATAAATAATTGTGAGAAATAAGTGAAGTCCCACTGTGAGAAATACAATCACAACTGCATACAGTAAATAGTCAAATTCCAACATGCAAATTCAAAACGTACAATTTTAAAGCTAATTTAGAAAAACAAAGTCACAATTTTGAAATAAAAAGCCATGAAATCAATAAATAATTGTATCACAAAATAAGTTACTGAATAATGTTGCAATTGTGATTTAAAAATTCACAATTACCAAGGCAGAAATGGGCTTCCAATAGTGGCATCAGCTATTTAAGACATGATATTATAAATGTACATTCCCACAACAACCTTCATGTTTCATAATACATAACTGATGTAATGCACAGTATCATTCAAATGGCATTATGTCTTTTAGTGCTTGTTATGTTTTTACCCATGGAGCCTGATATTTGGACCCCCCACAGCCAAACGGATTTAGACCCCCCAGCAGGCACAGGAGTATGATGTAGTATGGAGTATGGTTAAGCCAAATGATACATTTTACTCACGTATGCCCCACTACGATCGTTGTAATTCCACCCATCCCCAGCCATCCCTCCACCCTTTTCTCTCTGCCCCTCCTCCTCTAATACATCTTCAGATTAAGGTAGACCAAATGTCACCACTGGAGATTACCGTACGTAGTAAGCTATTAACATTTATGGCCCATGGAGGGATTAGAATACCTAGCTGGCTATTAGAGCCAGAGGTCCGGCGAGCGAGTCGGTGACTAATGTGAGTGTCACAAGCAAATGCAGCGCAGTCTGGGCTGAAACCCAAACTTCAACACCTGTCAGGAGTCAAGGGTGTTTGCTGTGCCTTCACACACCTGTTGTGGGTCTATCAAATCATGGGGCCCGTGTGATTCGTGCCAGGTGGTGACATTCAGATGCACGTTTACATGTATACATGCGCACACACACACACTCACATGCACAATCATGAGCTCCCTGACAGGATGCCTAACATAAGCTGTATCAGTAAATCCCTGCCACAACACCTACGCTCAATTTTTCTTGGCAGATGATGTCAGCCGAACAAGATAACACTTTTTTTAAAATGTAGAAATGATCTAATTAAACTAATTAAACAATGATTTCAGTCTTTTAAGTTATAACAATAAGCAAATGTTCTCGATAAAAGACATTTAATAATAAATAAGTGTGGTAACTAAAAAAAGTTAATGTTATTATGGCTGAATGTGTTGTTTCCTGTATTAAAATCAAATGCTGTTAACAATGGTAAATTCGACACCTAAAATATGGATAACGCACAAGTTGCAAGTTACAACGATGAGTCAGATACTAACAGACCACAAGTTGTGTGGTGTAGACACACATACCACAAAGTCTTCCGAGATGCAAGTGTCATGATCATTCTTGGGGACTCAAATGCTTCATATGAAGACCTTCGACGCAAAGCCTCTAAAAGCCACCTCTGTCAATTATGAGATAATAATATTGAGTGAATGCTCTCCGCACATACGTTCATCAAATACTTTCACTTCAAATTGACTAAATCCCAGGCTCAGCCCATTCAGAAACGCCGATACTTGGGTAGAAACCTATACATAGGAGCCTGAAGTCTTTGTGTGTTTTAGGGAAGGCTGTAAGTGAAAAACACTGTATATTCTTAAATTATTTTACAAAAAAATAGATGAACTCACACTGAATAAAGTGCTCATGAGAAGAAAGCATACTAATGCAATTCTAGAAATTGCTAAATTAATGTGTGACCAATGGATAGCAAAATGCTAATTGATTCAGCATGTTCATACAAAAACAGGCCATTAAGTTTGTTAGGTGTGAAATCACCGGTAACCCTTTAGTCTCCAGTGCCACCAGTTTCCAGAATAAAAACCTACCTGTAGTCTCCAGAAGTACAAGGTGTCAGGATGTCAGAGACTTTGTCAAGGTAAAAAATGCTGAAATGACTACGAATCACAAGCTGAAGTGTGGTGAAATACATGAAGACTGTTTAAACAACCTTGTCTAAAGGCTTTATTGACAGATAGGTTCAGAGTGACTCTTGAGGGACCAGTCCCGTTTAAAGTCAGACAACAGCAGCGTTGGCGTTAGTCGTGCTACTAACAAAGCAAGACGGACCATTCAGGGTAGGAGATGGACACTGAGATCCTGACAACTTGTACTTCTGGAGACTCCAGGTAAGTTGTCATTCTGGGAAATGGTGGCATTTTGCATGACCTTGTTGAACCAATAAATGTTTTGCTGTCCATTGTGCACAACTTAATTTTGCCATTTCTAGAATTGCATTGGTATCACATCATTATCATGAGCATTTAATCATTTTTGACTTTCCAGGGTGTTATATATCTATTTTGGCCAATTTAAACTGTAAAAGAAAACCTGCTTAATAATCATGCACACCTAAATAAAGTTTTTGTTTTTAATTTTTCCCTTCTACTCTTCCTTAACAATTATATCAATTTTAAATGATTAAATACAAAGAAATATATAATAGTAGTTATGAAGCTTGATGTGGTTTGTAAAATGTGTTAAAATATAATATACAGTATATTGCATTAAAGTATTAAATATGACATATAGGACGTTTGTTATAAAATATTCAATAGAAATTTTTAGCTTGGAATCAAATAATTGTATAATTCATGTTTTGCTGAATAGGTTTTTAATTCTGAAACTTAACTGATGTGCTTTACTGACCTTTAGTTCTAATCTAAAGGTCATAAATTTATACACAATGGGAATTCGGGGACATATTCACAAAATAAGTGTGCAACTGCCACATTAATCTGAAAATAAATAAATAAATAAATAAATAAAATAGATTAATTAAAAATCTTCATTAAAGTAACACTTTATTTAATTTTGCCTTGGCTTGGCTTTTATGAATGAAAATGTTGGCCTTACTGTTATCTACAAGCTAGTGTGCTCAAAAACAATGACAAAATCCAAAACGTCCTACAGTCTCTCACTTCTGCCAGTATGAATCGATGATGAATCACTCTGCACTTCAGCTTCTCGTCCCTACATTATACATTGATGCTGAATATGCGGCTAAATTCGGACACTTGTTCACACACATCTTCTACATGGTGAATGGTGCACTATAGGGAACAATTCAGACAGAGTAAGGCCCTGTCCCAAATGGCACACTCCGGACTTGTGGACTTCCTCAGAGTCCACACTTCGGTGACGTCATTTAGTGCAGACCTATAGGGCCCTTGGCAAGAATCCGCAAGGGCGCATTGAGAGGTATTTTTTGGGACAGATTGAGAAGTATTTTTGGGACACACCAACAGTCTGCAAAGTTCAGTTTCAAAGTTGTACAGTATCACATATAGCATTGGTGCAATGGAAATAACAGGTTTAGATTGTAAAAAAAAGACATAACAAAAAAATAAAATGTATTTTAGGGTAAGTCAATATGATAAAGAAACTAACTAATGGGGAAAGTATAATAAGCCCTGCAAAGAGAAAGACACAATTGTGCCACACAACAGGAAGTATGCGTAGATGAATATGTGACTTGTTCTTGAACAGAGGGGAATGAACTAAAGTGCTTAAGTGTGCTTCAGAGGTCATGATATTGTGGAAAAGGTAATGAAACCTCCTACTGGAAAATGTGCAATAGTTGCTGATACGGCTAAACAGACTCTTTAATTGTGTGAAAAGAATAATAACAATAATAATTCTACAACTTTTAATTGCTTGGAAATGTCCATGACCTTAAGTGGGGTATGCAACCTTTTATGACGACTAGTTTAATGTGCCAATCCTAAAATAATAAGGTAGATTTGAGGGGATAATTGAAATTTCTGAAATGCAATTTAAAAAAAAAAAATCTATACATGTTGTCTTAATCTCTTTTCTTGTGCTTATCACTCGCTTACCAATGGTTACCCCTTCATGATGTTGCTGACCACTGAGCTAGCAATTAAAATAGTTACTGATTTTAACTGAAATCAAAATAATTGAATTCATAACATCTACTTTTACATTTTTCCCCAGTTGTACTGAAACAGAAGACAATTCTGTACATGTTGTACAAGTAAAATACTGTACATTACTTTTATGTGAAACCACATAACATAACTCTAGTGTTCATTGCAATAGTGAAACAAGACGAACAAGATTCTCAATTTGCACTCTGAACCATCTTTGAAAAGTTTATATAAATAAAAGTTACAGTGACTTGTTGCCAACCTCAGGGGAAGCCATTATGAATAGGCTGAGAAATCACCATTCATTTCACATTCATATAAGAAAACAATTTCTCTTTTAAGATGAACCAGCAAATAATTACAAAACAGACAACAAATTTGCCTCGGGCGTGACTGCTAAAGCTGAGCTAATGTAGAGTAGCTCATGTTGTTGTCAGTTAAAGGACAGAGGTAAAGACGGTTGAGAGAGGAAATATTCAAGTAATATCACTTCAAGTGACACAGAAGCCACAATGAGCTCAGAATTGTAATCAATGGTGCCCAGAGTGATGTGTCGAGCTCCTGTCAGGCAGACAAAGAGACAGGCTGTCAGGTCAGGGCTAAATTTACTCTTGAGCTGGTCTCTGGTGTTTCCTCAGGCCTGTCATAGCTGCCCTCAGGTTTGCCGATAAAGAAGGCCGGATACTCAAGTGTCTTGACAAGTCTGACAAAGGATAGGAACTGTTCCTAAGGTTTGGAGCGTGTGTGTGTGTGTGGACAGCATTGATGCACAGTGTCCCTGAGCTCGAGAGAAGAATGATACAGGAAATCTGCACTCTCCAGATGCACTAAAAGACCGTGGAAAGCAATTTGTCCTTCCGAACATACATTTATAAAGTTCACATATTTCCAAGGACCACCGTGAGCACCTGTGATCAATATATTGATACAAACACACAGCTTGATTATCTCAGGATTTAGTTGTTGTTTCTTGAAGGGCTAGCCTAGTGCACCAGAAGTCAAGTC